TATTATTATTATTATTTTTATTTTTAATAAAATGCTGAAGTGGTAGGTAGATGCAAGATAAAGGTAGAAAACATAGTTTAGTGCTGTAAGAAGGCAAATGTAGATGATCAGATGATCAGGTGTGTGCCTATGGACTAAGTATTAATACAGGCTAGACAAGGGCAGCAAAACATCCACGGATGCAGAAGATTTCTCTCAAAGCAGGGGGGGTGAGGTTCTGAGCCTCACCTCTGTTGATCCCCAAATTCTCACCTGATGGCCCCCCTGCGACTGTGCCTGTCTTAGGTTGTTCCTCCCTTGAGGAATCTTACCCATCTCTGGCTAACCAGTCATCTTCCGGGGCCATACAGGGAAATACTGTACCCTCTTTTTAAAAAAATGTACAATAAGCAAAGGCAAAATACAACCCAATTCAATCCAAATAAGTAACAGTCTTACTCTTCAGTTTTAACATTGGTTATTAAAATTATGGTAGGTGGTAAGAGTAAGAGCTGAGAAGTAGACTCATATAGAACTTAAAAACCAGACTCAAACTTTTTAAATAGAAGAACAGAGCTCTGACTCTCTCTCTACTCCTATGTCATAGCTGAGTAGGGGTTCTCTGCTTCCTGACATTCTTGAGCTGTTTCTCTCCCTGCTTTAAACATGGTGTAGTTTCCATTTGTAGCAATATGGATGGAGCTAGAGGGTATTATGCTCAGTGAAATAAGCCAGGTGGAGAAAGACAAGTACCAAATGATTTCACTCATTTGTGGAGAATAACAACAAAGCAAAACTGAAGGAACAAAACAGCAGCAGACTCACAGACTCCTAAAAGGGACTAGTGGCTACCAAAGGGAAAGGTTTGGGGAGGGAGAAGGGGATTAAGGGGCACTATAATTAGCAATGACAGTATAGGTAGGTCCTGGGGAAGGCAGTACAGCATGGAGAAGACAATTAATGACTCTATAATCTTACTACGTTGATAGACAGTGACTGCAGTTGGTGGGGGAGAGGACTTGATAATATAGGTGAATGTTGAAACTGCAATGCTGTTCATGTGTGACCTTCATAAGATTATATATTGATGATACTTTAATAAAAAACAAACAAACATAAGGCAGTTTCTCCTATGACCCTCTGGTTTCTCTGGAGAGCTTCACATAGACGCTTCTATGTAACATTTGCTTTCATTAGCAAATGATTGCATAGGAAAGCATATAATGAAGAGGGAGGCCACCTGTATAGAATATCAACAGGCTGCAGATTAAATGTGCCTTGTTTTCTTTGCTAAACTCCCAGCACAAATTTCTATTAGAAAGGTTATAAATTCTTTCCTCCCACATTCCACCTCTGCATTCTAAACCGTCTACTCTGGGCCTCTTCAGTACAGCACTCAAAGACTGAGAAAGTCTACAATCTGCGTCAGTCGTATTTTTAAAAAATTGTTCTGAGTTTCATGTAAGGTATTTTGATCCAAGAAAAGGATATACACTAGAGATTTGTATATTCTCAGAATTACCTATGTCTTGCTTATAGTTTTGTTGTTCTTTATGCTGCTGTTTTCAAGGTACCTTCGGAGTTATATGTAATATAAACATTAATTATTAGGAAATTTCTCCCACAAATCAGTACTGTGGGTCTCAGACAATTAAATATTAGCATATCAACATCTGAGCCTTTCAAATGTGTTTTGGTCTTTATAGTAAGGTAATGGCAGCATATATAGCAAGCAATGTTTTTATTTGGTATATAAAAGTATAAATAAAATAGGAAGAGAGAGTGGACAGAATTATAGTTGTGAACAGTGTAAGATAAAAATGACCAAAAAAAGCTCCTTTTATCTTACAATATTTCTTAGAGCTCATTAATGCATTTGGAGGCAGGGCCAAAGTCAGTGGTTGGTGGGAAACAAACCCTAAACTATCCGATGAGTGGATTCCCTAAGAGTTTCAGGACTCCTGTGTTCTGTGACTCTTGGGTTCATCCTAAATCTTCTCAGAAGTTAATTTTTGTCTTCTTTTATGGTCTATCTACATCAGAATAATTTTTAGGTGCTCAAAGTTTATATTAAAGGGCAGGTTATTGGTCGGGTCCAAATTCAAATTGCCTGCCCCCACTACCCTTTTTTCTTTTCCACTGGCTCCTTTCTGCTCCATTCCCGGGGCTGGGGAGCCAGGTCAGGGTGGTAGGTGGTCGCCTGCGGCACTGGCTGCGTCAGCATAGGCTCTAAGTCGTTGGTACTTAGCTGTGGATTTCCCTAGGACTAAACATCCAGGTACATATATATGGTGAAGATTTTCTATAAGAATGATGTTTGATAATATGTCTAACAGCCTCTATTCCAATGTCCTTTGAGAAAGAAAAAAATCAGGAGGAAAAAAGAGAGCTCTAAGGGTGAAATGACAAAAATGCTATTACTGTTTGGTAGAAAGACAGACATGAGCAGCTGGGGAAAGGGAAGATAAAATTCAAGAAAGAAACTGCTCAAACTGTCCAGGTAGGGAGTCCCACATGAAGGAAACAAGGGCTTTTCAGGGAGATAACTTCTTTGCCTATCAGGCAGTGCAAACTGGTCCCAACCTGATCCCAACGTGGGCACAACTGACCGAAATGAAGAACAGCCCAAAACAAGCCTCATCATGGGAAAGGACATGCTCACTGGGTGGAATGGCTAGGTAGATGGACCTGCCAATCAAATAACCCCACCTTGTCAATCAAAGAGGTGCCTCCTAGCCAGAAAGCAATATGTAGGCCTCCTACCTAACAGATCAAGGCCTTTGTCTACCTTGACTCTGGCCCTCTCCTCCCTTAGAGTGTATGCAAATAAAACTTACACTCGGCTTTGCTATTGTGTCTCTGCCTTTCAATTCTTTGTTGTGGTGCAGACAAAAACTGAGAAGAACAAACTCAACCCATAACACTACCTTTCAAGTTACTGGCAAGATGCTGTGTCAGAGGTTTGGATTGTGATATGTCCAGTTTGAGCCTAAACTGGAGTTACAGATGTCAGAGCATACCTTGCAAAAACAGAGCAGAGCCTGTTCAAAAGCACATTTAAGTCCTGGGAAAGCACTCATCTTAAGGGAAGAAGGATCCAGGCACAATGAGCTTATTCAGTGAAAAGGTTGTGATAAGAGAAAAAGGGGTGATTATGGATGACAGATACAACATGGTATCCATCACTCAACTTTGTCTCCTCACTGGTGTTTGAGTATTACTAAAAGCAGGTACACCTCTGGTGAATTGGAAAGAGTGACTGGTGAAAGATGGCTGAGTAGTGGGATGCATGCTGGTGGGATGCTCAGAAAGAGCAGACTTGCTTTTGATCACATGTGAAGCACAGTTGGAGTTTCACAGAAACATTTGGGAATCAACAGAGGGCAGAATTAATTTAGTAAATGGAGCAATATGCTCTTAGAGATGGGCAATTATTGTCAATATGCCTCTCTTCGTACTTACAGGAGGGTAAAGCCTGGAGAAACTCAGGTTACATCGGGAAACAAAAAATCAGTATGAAAGTCCTAGAAAACAATGTACTTAAACTTCAAAGAATCAGTTAGTGCTAATTTTGACATTCTCTCTTACTCTTCTCATCCACGTCTTCCCTGTCTTTCCTGAAGCAAGTAAAAGTATGAGTAGGAGTAATATCATCATCATTAATTCCACTAGGATAAAGCCAACACTATGAAAAAAGATCCCTATAAACTTCACATACCCATAGGAGAGCAAAATATTTCTCCTACTGTAATAGGTATTCCAGGAAAATGTCTAACCCTAAAGGACATAGCCATCTCCACAATTCTTAGGCTTCTGAAGAATGAGATAAATGAAAATTTTGGCACTAAATTTCTATCTCTTTAGCAACAATCCCACCTAGTTAGTACTCTCAAAATTCATATTTTTACAATAACAACTTCAAAATAAAATCCAGTACTTACTTGTCTCCCACAATTCCCAAGTTGATTGTGGGGTAACCATGTTCCTGAATTGTTGCTAAGAGGGTTGAACGATTGCTGTCTCGAATCTTTCCTGGTAAGAGGTCATCTTCAGGATTTAGCAGCTACAAAGCCAAAAAACCACCACAAATTATTCTTTTAGGATAATGTTGCCTATTGTTAATGGGAAATAAAGGTAGATCTAGTAAAGAGGTTAGCACAGCTAGCACCTACAACAGTATCTGGCACACAGAAGATATGCTCAAAGGACCTTTGAATAAATATTGAAAGTGTAGGAGGATGAGAAAATGTTCTTCCAGAATTAAAAAACAGAGAGAAATTTAAAAGCTAACTGAACAGAAGGCCAAATATCACACCAGCTTTTGCTATAATTTGACAATAGTGCTTGGGAGATACTGGCCTTCCCAGTGCTCATCTACTAGGGCAAACAATAAAACAACTTTCTTTTTTTCCTCCCAATATTATTTTCTAATTTGTCTTTCACTGAGAACATCTGAGGCAGAGACTATGAGACATGATATTCTCAAGTGTGAGGATAATGATCATTTATCTTTTCTTTCGAGCTTTTTGATCTCTTTTTTGAAGTGGGATCAACAGTATCAAAGAAGTTCAGCTTACTTGAGGGAGAGGGAGACGATGTCTTGTCTCTATTAGTCAAGTAAATGAGTAATACTTTACATATACACACAATTCCATGACCTTGAGTTGAATCACCCTTTAGAGATTTCTACTCTATAACAGTAGATGTAATCTCTACTACTATTTGTCCATGAAGGAAATTATAAGGTGCTTATTCTATGTTAGGGTGTTATAATGAGGCAGTATGGTACAGTAGGAAATGTTTAGGATTCAGACAAGGTCCAAACATGTTATGCCTTGATTTTCTCATTTATAATATATAGTAATAATAAATACCTTGAAAGGTAGTTATTAGGATTTAGATAATGAACCCTCAGTTAATAGAGATAAAGTTCAATAAATATGATGCTCTTTCCTTTATGATATGATATTAAAAGAGCACTTATTTTTCCCCGAATCATTCTCATATTATTACTTCTAGATGCTAGCACAGATGGAATCAGTTTATAATGTGAACACAGATTTAGATTTACTGGATTGTAAAATATTAAGAGTAGGGTGTCCTTAATAGACACAGACACATACAACATATGACTTTCATTTATAAAACAATTTTAAGATGTACTTTGATTTCAGAAATATAAATTGAGTAAAAAGTACATCTTTGAAGTGAGAAAATCTGGACTATTATCTTAGGAGGTTCAAGTCATGCCTGCATATTTCAGATGCTTAGGCTGTTGATATGGCCAATACAGAGGGCTTCCTATCTCAGTTCTCCCAAACCATAACCTCTGGTCCCTTTAATTTTCCTTCTGGCTCATTAGTGATACCAGGTGGCCAGACCTCTGGTTTTATGTTAGAAAAGTAGTAGCTTTGCAACCAATGTCCTCTTATAATAGCTGGAGAAAAACTCTGATCACTTTATTCAGTGTCACCTGGGAGTCTTTCCTTAAAAGACTGCATTAATTTAACTTAATCAGATGTCATGTGACATTGCAACTCACTTTCATTGTTAGTGACTTGCAGAGCTTGGAAAATTGCTATTGCAGGGCTGATATGGATTAATTTTCTGATCTTAATTAACACACAGTTATTGAAGTCATTATAATTTTATAAATGACAAGGCTCCTTTACACCATCGATCAGACAAGTTGATTCAGAAAGAAAACTGTGTGGTTCTATCTCCACCCCCCTTTTTTTTTTTTTACAGAAAAGTATTGACCACAGACCAAGGTTTCTCTGTTATTGGAGTGTTTTCTTTGCCATTCATAATCGTCTCTGTTATTTTTGCTGCAAACAGTTCCAGAAAACAAAATAATTAGAAACTAGTTATTTGTCTGTAAAATTGACATAATGACATAATAGCTAGTTAAATGAGGCTTTACAGTAAATGGGATTTACAGTGCATCTTAAGGATTTTTCAAAGAAAACATATAGAATTAAACAGATTATAAGGCTGAATATAGCAGATCAATTCACAATATTTTCCTTTAAAACTGAACCCTTTGGTTTTAATATCTTATATTTCTGGTTATCTCTGGAATGATGTCTGAAACTTATTAGTTAAAATACAAAAGAAAAAATACAAAGTAAAACAACATATAACTTATTATCTCCATAACTTGTTATTTTCTTATCTACCATATATTAAATTTCAATATCCTATTTCTATTTTTGTCCATGGTGCTACTGTCTTCCCAGCTTTCAAACAATTAATCCTTTTTTTCCCTTTGTATTCCATTATCTTTTCCAAGGTCTCAATTGTTAAGAATATCCTAATCTTTTCCAAATCCCTGACTTATGTTTTCATTCACTCTCTTACCAATGACCCCTCCCTCATCTCAGGCATTCAGTATGTGTGAATTTCTGCAGAAGCCTTATAATTGGCTATATTGTCTACAAACTCTTTATGCCTCACAAATAAAACAGAAATTTCAAGTTGCAAAACTGTACTACTACTTGCAGAACAGATAAACTGTACTGAACTGTGACATGTAACTCAAACTATCTTAAGTCAAATTGTTTTAACACATGCCTGCTCAGATTTATATGCTCCAAGATAAGACCATGGACAAATTGAGACCATGGTAATGCCATGTGGACTCATGTGTTACAAATATGACCGACTTGTTTCAGCAGCTTACCTATCTTACAAAATCTAACCAGTTTCTGTCTAGGCCTTCCTAACTTCTACCTTAAAACCACCTCATGACCAACCCCAGTCCTCAAAATCCTGTACGTGTCCTGTATCTTTGCCATTTTAGACAATACTGAAACTCTGCCAAGGTGATGCGCTTCTTTGCTCAGAAATCTTAATATATCCAGCTGAGGGTGATCAATAGATTTCCTTGGTGGTCTTCATATTAGCACTTTGATAATCATGGAGGTTCCACTATTATAGTAGATAGCCAGCCAGACATGAACAGGGAGGGGGTTGGGGACTTTGGCTGATGTTCATATTTGGTTAGATGTTTGTTTATATTCTAAACATTCCATGTAAACTGCCCTGTGGGATGTGGGGAATGAGGGTATAGATAACAGACCTGCCAAAACTGACTAGTTCCAGTGTGGAGGAGGAGCTATCCCTGACTTCACTTCAAAGTACATTATATGCTCATTAGCATACTAAAAATCATACCGGTTGGCACCATGACAGTTCTGAGGAAGGCCATCTAAGGGCAAAAAGAGAGCGTCACCTTATTTCCTGGAAAACTTCACCTATCACAATTAATATTCCACCTCCTGCTTATTAGACTCCAGCTATAAGACCACCCAAAGTAAATCCCACTGTGCTGCTCACCTCTGGAGCAAGACTGCACTCCCTCCTTGAGTGTGTACTCTGCTTTATTAAACTACTCTTTCCTTGTATCTGTTTGACCTGAATTCTTTCTTGATCAGAGTCAAGAACCCTCTTCTGGGTTAGGCCTCAGCTAGTGTGCAAGGAGATCACCCCACATTGGATTGGCCAACACCACCACTAAGACTTAGGCCAGACCCCCTGCCACCAGTATTCTTATATTGGTTATACTGTACTCCACTAAGGTCTCTTGAGCCTCTCTGCCTGGAAGATTCCTTGTCTAGGATGGTAAGTCCAGCACTTAACATTAAACTCTGATCCTTTTTGTTGAGCTCTCAAAGTTAGCTGATATTTATTTGGTTTGTTGTAAGAATAAGGTCACCAGGACTTTGTGGTTATCTGACTGAATTTGTATTAACTTTTGTTTTCTTTGGTGAAGGTATGCTAAAGCACTGATTTGATACTAACCATCTTGTTTGTTAGTTGGCTACATCGTTGTGTGTTGAAGGGGTTCAGAACACCTCCCCACAATGTGCCACTTTGGCATGTGTACTATTTTGAGCTTAAGGCAATTGAGACCCTGCAGATTCAAGACAAACTTTTATCTCCTTAACTACCTAGAAAATTCTAAATTGCAGCCTCTCCCAAAATAAGGGTTATTACCAGAGATAAATTTTATCTGAGCAATCCATCTGTACAGTAGGGCAAAGATCTAATCACCGAGCATCTGCTCTTTATTGCCCTGTGCATTTGTCCTCTTCCTCTTTGGAGTCCCAGGTCCCTGTTCCATTCCTTAGCTTAAGATGGCATATATACTTCAATTTGCCTTTCTGTCTTTGAAACTCTCAGATATGTGGGGTTCCCATATATATGAAATTAAATTTGAGTTTCTCCTGTTAGTCTGTCTCATGACAATTTAATTTTTAGATCAGCAAGAAGAACCTTGAAGGGTAGAGGAAAACTTTTCTTACCCAACAGTGCCTGTAAGAACTTTTCTTTGTTTATGCTTGAGAAATTGGCTTTGGGAGAGATCTCCTGTCTACCCATTCTGGCCTGCTGATTCTTAGGGTCAGCCATTAGGGGTTCAATCTTAGTGTTAAGGACATTAGATGTAATATGTAAGTGATATTTTCCCTGCCTTCAGCTAATGAATTAATGGATTCATCTCATATAAAAAACTTGTGCTACATTCTGGCCTAGCATAACTCTGGTTCTTGTTTTATTTTTCTTGCATTTATCTTTCTAAAAAGCACAATTTCATCAAGGACAATTTGGAAATTGCAGTGGTTATTTTGGAGTACTTTTGATACAATCACAATTATTCACTTGAATATTCAGTCATAAGCATTTTATGTTATACAAAACTTCAAAATGAATTTAAATAAAAATATAAAAAATTTAAAGGTTCTTTTGTTATACCTTCCTGACAAGGTTGTCTTATTTGTCTGAAAGACAAATCACTTAGTTTATTTTAAGAGACTTTCCTCTTTGTTTCTGTTCTTCAGAGATTTAATCCTATAGCTCTGATCGAATTGTCAAAGGGCCCACAACTAGTTGTGATGACTTGATTTCTCTCTTTTTTATCTATGGAAATGGGTTTCAACACATAAAAAATAGCAAATTTTTATTCATCTAGATCTGGGAATGGTGACATGGAATGTCTCTCTGAAAAGAGACTGACCAGGTTCAAGATACACTACCCGTTCGTATACTGAATATTTTCAGCTG